ATATTTATTATAGAAATATTTCATGAACGATAAACATTCTCTATTCACAGATTTATGAGCCTGGATTCCAGGTGGAGTTAACTTTATATTTCGTGGATTTCATTTATGTTGGATTCTTTTCATGTAAACGAAATGTTTAGTTAAAGTATGAGTATAACACTCATTTGAAGCTCCGAGTATTTCATTTGTTCATTTATCCCATTGCATCCCCAATAAAAGTGCCTTTATGTGAATTCCAATTAGTGAAGTTTGCAGATAAAATTACAGATTCAGTGAAAATGAAACAGTGAAAACTGAAACCTATACAGTCATTGAAGTATATAAAAAGATCGAACTGAATTTGTAATTCTGGAATCTCTCTGGACTAAAAAAGATGTGAAAAGTATCAGATTCTTGACATACTCTCTGGAATGTAAAACATAGTGTATGTATCATAAAACAACTATTGTTTCGAAAAACCTAGCAATTCATTGAATGTTGTCATTGATAAGATCCATCCAGTTGCCACCAGGAGCGGAGGAAATATATCGAGGTATGAGAAATATACTTGATTAGTTTCCGATCATTTTTGAGGAGAATGATGAAATGTTCTCCTTTCAGAAGATCGTTTCTGAAATGTGTATATGGAAGAAAATGTACTATGCAAAATATACTAGACGATGGTATAACTGCTCTGAAGGAATGTAACAAACATTTGTTTCCTAACATAAACATTCTTCTAGAACTATTACATTGCCTGCCTTTAAGTGTTGCATCTTCAGGAAGGAGGTTTTCAGCACTCAGAAGGCTGAAAGATTGGATAAGATCCAGAATTGTTCAAGACAGGTTGAATGTCTGAATGTTGATGATATCATGCAAAGAAACGCTAGTCAGAGGAATGGAAGACTGGAATTTGTTATTTAGTTCTCAAAATTGGATTCTTCATTTCATATATTTTTATATTTGTCTGTTCCATTTGTTTTGTTTTTGGAAAATAATATTTTTTTCTACTTTTGTTCCCAAGTATTTCGAGAGAAATATTTTTTTATTCACTTTCTTCATCCAATATGATTCATTGCAGAATTCTACATATATTGATGGATTCAATCGAATAGTTTGAACTTGTTTTTTACACCAATTTTTTCGAAACTTGGAAGGAAAATAAAGATTTCGTGTTCACTTGTATCAATTTTTCTTTATGAAAAAGCATTTGTTTGATAAGGTAACCATATATAATTTCTCTCCCGTGCTAACCTTATTGAGCCGTGACTTCCTATGCCCCCTCCCCCTCGAATATCGTCTGGATCCACCCCTGGCAGCCACTTTGACAATGCAAATTCCATTCTCAACCAAATCCACAGTTATTTCGGTACCACCTGAATCGGACATATGGGATCTGATTGATAATCTCCACTATAAACAACAAGAGTGAAACCGATGATACACTCATCATTCACCTCACCTGACAACTGCTTCGTGAACATTTCATGATACTTCGCTGGCGCGCTTTCGTCGGCTCTATCGTGTCTACAAGTGCTATCGTTATATGAATGATACAAAAGTGAGTATAAAGGAGGTAAACATCGCATAAAATGGCATTGAAAGGGGGTAGACCAAGGATACTTTTCAAATAACTGCTTCATTTCTAATAGAAGGTTTCTCCCTCTTTCCCAACCACTGTTCTTCATTATCGATGCTGGTACAGGGAAGAGTGTCGATATTGTAAGAAATCAAGGTACTTCACTTGTTAGCATCATCCAACAAACCTCGTATTCAAATGAATAACATTGATATCTGATCATTCCATTGAGGCATACTGAACTTTTCACCAAAAATAACTTGTTATTCATGGATCAAAAAATAAAAAAGTTCTACAAATATGGTGCCGACTTGATTGAGCCCACTGTATATTCATAATGAATGAATTGAAATGTTTTATATACCCGATTCCGATGAAATTTCAAAAAATTGTTCACCTCACAAATTATTAATTAATCTGAATTACTACTGTTTCGATATAAATAGATGTGATATTGATGATAACCAATGACAATTTTCCGACCAATATTCTAGGGTTTGATAGAAATGATAATCTGAAAATTATAATGCAATTGTTGTCGCTTCGAATACTAGTTTATCACTTTTATTAGTTATTGCCTGATTGAGAGGAAATATTTGACTGTGATTGATTAATTCAAATTAACTTGTACTGATTTAACAATTTTCAATACATTTGATATAATATGATTATCATAGGCTACCAGATACCAGATAACAGATATTGATATGATTATTATACATTTTTTGACACATTCAATTCAATTCAATTCAATTCAATTTTTTATTGATCCATTAAAACGAGCTTAAAAAGCAATTGGACAAGTCAGTACATATCAAATACAGATATTAAATACAAGTATATAACAAACACATTCGTAAATTATTAAATTAAAACAATCAAGTGAGCGAACAAAGCAGCAACGATGAAAAATAATACAAAACATTTTTACTAATGTAGGTGGGAAAAAAACTCTTCGATTGTATAGGGGCTAATTTCAAGAAGTAGTTGTTTTATTTTATGTTTGAATACTTGTTCCTTGGTTATGATTTTGAAAAACTCCGGAAGTGCATTGTATAATCTCAGCCCCAAAATCTCAAACGAGTTCAGACGTAGAGATAAACGTGTTTTGGGTATGTGAAAATCATTTCTGATACGTGTGTTATATTCATGAAAAGATTGGTTTTGTTTAAAAACTTCTTTATTTTTATGGATGTACAACAAAACTTCCAGAATGTAGAGACCTGGTAGAGGCAAAATGTTGAATTTTTTAAATAGTGTTCTACACGATGATGTTTGTGACGCGTTTGCAATGGTTCTGATAATTCTCTTTTGCGTTACAAAAACATTGTGTGCAGGTGGAGAATTTCCCCAAACAATAATCCCATAGTTAATTCTTGATTGTATCTGCCCGTGGTAATATAAAAGTAGACCAGATTTGTCTAGAATTCTTTTCAGGTTTCTTAGCAGATAACACTGCTTATTGAGTATTTTAATGAGATTATCGCAGTGCTGACGGAAATTGAGATTGCTGTCTAGATAAAGCCCTAAAAATTTTATACTGTCAACTCTTTCTATCTCAACATCGGATATTTCAATATTAAAGTCCACCGTGTTGGTATTTTGGGCAGTATGGAAAGCTACTGCTTTCGTTTTGGAGGCATTCAAAAATAATGAGTTTTCACTAAACCAATTTTGCAAGCTATCAAGATCAGAATTTATATTTTGTTGCAATTCAGACAAATATTTTGATTTAAATAGGAGGGAAGAATCATCAGCATACAAACAAGTGAGTGACTTTGGCAAAACAGATGGCAACTCATTGATATAGAGAATAAAAAGGATTGGCCCCAAAACAGATCCTTGGGGAACACCTATGTCATTATTTAACTGATCAGAAAAAAAAGTTTCGTTGTAATTCTCATTCGAATATTGTATTTTGACAGCCTGGGTGCGATTTGAAAGATATGATACGAACCATTCATGCTGAATACCTCTAATACCAGTTTTGTACAGTTTGTCCAGGAGATTTCCGTGTTGTACGCAGTCGAAGGCGCGGCTGAGGTCACAAAAAATCCCAGTGGGATTTTCGCCTGCTTCAACAGCCTGTAGAAGATTCGAATAAAAAGAAATAATTGCCGTTGTAGTGGAATGATTCGATCGAAATCCGTGTTGGTTCGGAGTTAGAATGTTATTTATATTCAGAAAGTTATGTAGAAATTCCAACATTACGTATTCGAATACTTTTGAGAGTGATGGGGAAACAGCAATAGGACGATAATTTTCCAAATTATGAGAATTTCCTTTTTTCAGGATTGGAGAGACTATAGAATGTTTCAGTCGCGAAGGAAACTGTCCTTGCTGAAAAGATATATTTATAATGTGACTTAGGGGCGCTATGATGTAGGGTGCAATCTTTTTAATCACATACCCAGAGATGCCATCTGATCCACACGAATGTTTATTTTTGATTTTGTCCCTGATAACCTTCAGTATATCATCTTCACTGACATATGTAATGAACATACTATTCTCAATACTCGGTAGCAAATTAGTCCTCAAGGGGTTAATATTTTTAGTTTTATTTATTTTGTCAACAATATCATGTGGTGTATTCACAAAAAAGTTATTAAAAATATTAGCGATATCAAGTGGATCTTCTACAAGACCATCATTACTATCTATAGTTATATTACTTTTCTTCGTGGTTTTTCCTGTTAACTCGTTAACAACAGACCACGTGTTCTTATTTACATTACCTGAAGAGTAAATTTTATTTTGATAATATATACTTTTGTTTTTTCTTACCAGAGTTTTATGTTGCTTTTTTTGTGTTTGGTAGAATTCTTTCAGGGTGGGATTAGTCTTCACCTGCTGATAAAGTTCTTTAAGATTTTTACTTGACATTTTAATTTCAGTGCTAACCCATTCAGTTCCAGGATTTTTATTTTGGTGTTTTCTGATAGGTTTTATTGGGCATTCACAATTAAAATAAAATAAGAGAGTATCATGAAAACTGTTGAACTTATCGTCTAGATTATCTAGTTGATACATTTCTGACCAGCTCTCTTTTTCTAAAGCATTAGACAAGTTTTTAATGTTAGTGTCATTTATTATTCTCCTATGATTATATGAAGATCTTTCATCAGTTCGATGTTGCTTCGTTGAGAAGAGGACAGTTTGGTGAGAAGATATACAGTTTTCGAGTACACCCCATTCGTTGGTCTCTGGTAGGTTAGTGTATATTTGATCGAGCGTCGTTTGACAAGTCTGGCTGATTCTAGTAGGTTTGGTTATTCTGGGGCTGAGACCATATGATATCAATAATTGTGTAAAGCGATTTGAATTGGTATAACTCATCGAATGGTAGTTGAAATCTCCATTTAATATTATGACTGTTTTAGGAACAAATATTTTGTCAAGAATTATTGAGATTTTCTCAAAAAATATTTCGAAGTTTCCTGATGGAGAGCGGTAACAAGTCAAAATGAGAATATTAGTATTATTATTTTTCCACAGGACACCACAAATCTCAATGTTTTTTTCAATACAGTACTCTTGTAAATTCAACGGAGTTACATCTAAATCGGTCTGGGACCATATACCAACTCCACCACCTATACAATTGATTCTGTGATATGAGTTAGAAAGAGTGAAGTCAGGAAAATGAAAAGAGTTTACAGAGCTTTCAGACCACCAGGTCTCTGTCAAACATATAAAATTAAGTTGATATTTGTCAGTTAGATATTCAGCACTGATGTAGTCGAGTTTGTCATAGTTCAAACATTCTGCATTTAGCAGCAATAGGTCGACTTGCTTTGGTAAATCACCTAAGTTGGAGGAGGGTTCACAGACCTCCGAAAGTTTAAAAAGCGTTGAACGTATGCTCCTTTGGGCCATTTAGTTGGATCCATTGCAGCATCGAAATGGGATTCATGAATTGAGACTTTGAAAGAAGCGTAGATATCTGGATGCTTGGAAGTTAGAGTCTCAATTTTAACTTCAGAGAAATGGGGAGTTAGAGATTGTTTCAGCTCCTCCGCGGTCATCGTGGGATCAACCCGGTATACATGTAGACAGGCCATTTTTGGAATGCCCTTCAGTTCCTTACCATTGACTTTGATGGAACTATTATCGCCAACAACCAGTTTTCTTCTGGGTTTTGCTCTTTTAACTAATTTCCAGTCACTGCTGTTGGCCTCCATGTTATTCGCTAAATTGATAATCTCTTCACACTTTTGTTGCGTGGCAAGTTGCAACAAGGGTTGTGAAACATGTTTTTCGGTAATAGTCAAACTATCAGAAATTTTTGAACACCCGGCAACGCTGTTGGGAGGGTTCAGATTCACAGGCCTGGACACATTCTCTTTATCTGCTATGTGGGAATCGTTTTTTCCCGAATCTTGTTTTTTGTTGGTGTCTCCAAGACTTTTTACGGGTGAAACATTCGTCATTCCTTTTAATAGAACAATTTGTTCTTGCATCAAGTCTATCTTGTCGCGAAGTTCTTGTATAATTTCATCTTTTTGTTTGACAATATAATTAAAAATATTAAGATCGACTACCTTACTTTCGCCTGCTAGGTTTTCCATCGCATCAAAAAACGCTTGGTCGTTATCACAGCTAACTTTTTCGGAGGGACAACATATTACCATGTCTTCGTTGAGAAATTTGACATTGATATTTCTCGCACAGCTTGTATGGAAGTTGTTCTCACATAGGGTGCACTTTACACCTTTAACTAGGTTTTTTTTACACTTATTACAGGATTTGTTTTTCAGAGCACTTTCACACACATTTGCACGGTTCGATGCCATGTTGCCAAAACCCATGATCATGATCATTCCTGTTATGAGACTGTTCACAAACTAAGTATATGACTGTTCACAAACTAAGTATATGAGATTTTGTTGATTTCCACAACATTCCCAATCACACGACTTGTTTCGCAAACACAGTAGCTTCATCAGGTGGAATACTGGTACAATGAACCAGACAAACCTTGGCTCACCTAACTTTTGAATATCCTGCTTTCCACACCTGAAGGATTAGAATTACCTGTGGAAAGGATCGATAAACCTTCATTTTCGGAAATAAGGCATAATATCTACATTAAAATACGGTGTACCGGATTAAATTGGGAGGGTTGATATCAAATACATATTATAACCTACTACTATTACAGCTCAAGGCCAGCGTAGCCTCGGGGTTGCAGCGTCAGTAAGAAAGTGTTTGGGATCACACGTTGAAAGGTAAGACTTCCCAGCAAACATTGAACTAGCGGGAGAAGTCCGGCCTAGTGCAGGCTAGTCTGGGAAAGTGACGATGCCGGGGTATTGGTAATGGGCCAATGATTTTCCTATGTCGAGTAACCATCAGTTAAAAATACGGTGATGGCCTTGTGATGGTAAGATGTCTGGAACTAATTGAATACTTACGAGATCTGGCCCTTTGATGGCCAATCTCATGTTCGCTACTCGTCCCCCTGGTGGAAGTTCTGGGATCGTCAACATCAACAATCAGCTGATCAATATTAAATGTGACTAAGATGGCTGACTCTCGTGAGTGGTGATCGCGTACTAGTTTGTTTATTACGATGAATTATTGTGCTCCTCTCTTTCCCTGGTGGTTATTTATGATGGCAGGAGTATTCTCAACTGATAATGATAGAAGACAGATTCTCCAATTATGATAATATTGAGTAAGTATCAATCTACCTACATAGTGTTTCGAATTGAATTATTGAATGCATGTGTTTGGTATCTCGTAACCTCATAATAACTAATGATCATAATAATTTGAGTGGACTGTACTTCTCCAAAAACAACTATCATTTTTAACTCGTTTGTTGCTATCAAAAGCAATCTTAGGTCATGTGAACCATATATAAACAAATGATGCATTTTATATTTCAGAAGTACCTCACAACGGAAATTCGACTTTGAAGGAATGCTACCCAATAAGATGTGGATACCACATACCAACCAGTAAGCAGTCACTACGAGAAGTTTCATCGTTGAAGAACAGAGAGGTTAAGAAGATATTATTGTGTTATTCATAAAATTGTTTTCTTGAAATCTGGTATGATGAGAGGGTTATATTGTGAAATAAAAAGGTACGAGAACTTTCAGATCCAATGGACCCCTAAAACCCCTACCCCTCCCCTACCTCGATAGTATGTAACCAATGTCGTCAATTGGCCATTACAGTCCCATCATTTATGTATATGCTGGGCTTGCTATGGGAAACTCAATGTGTCGATTATGTTGTACTGGCCTTTTGCCGGGGAACTGAACATGTTTGCTGGGAACCCAGCACTGGGACCAGCTGCCGGCCGCAGTGTACTGATATATAGAGTCCCGCATATGGGAGCATTCATTGGGCCGCTGATGTCAGGTATGGGAAAAATATATTAGGCCATTGATGCCCCATATCAAGATGTTTGCTGGGTTTCGTCATTCCTTTTCTGAACTGAGAAAACAAATTCAACAGTGGTGAACTATGTTGGTCTAGTTGATCGTTTAGTAGAATGTTAGAATTTTTTAGTTTGTTGATTTCTACTGATTCAAAATGATTGAGTTTAATTCCTTTATTTTCTATGTGTAGAATTTCGAAACTATCATAAAAAATTATGATTTTCTTCAGATATACAGTTGGCGTTTGTTGAATTTGTTTTGGTTTTTTATCTTCGTTATTTTTGATAAACCTTCCCAACCGTTCTATGTGCAACTCGTAAGTCCTGTTCATGTAGAAATGAAGCTAATTTTTCAGTTGATTTATCCGAAATAAGTTGGAGTTCTATAATTTTGATTATTGTTTTTGATGGTGAGATGAATTTCTTGAATAACTTTATCATGGGGTTTTTTAGGAAGAATACTGTCTACGATCAAGTAGACCTCAATAGTAGCACTGTTAAATTGTGTAAATGTTTTCCTAGTACGTAATAATATGATTGTATTTGCTATCAACCATTGCAAGTTAATCTGGTACACCTTTTTTTGATGTAGATATTATGCCTATTTTCAAAAAATGAAGGTTTATCGAACCTTTCCACAGGTATTCCTAATCCATCAGGTTGGGAAAGTATGATATATTAAAGTTAGGTAAGCCAAGGTTGGTTCATTGTACCAGCATTCCACCTGATGAAGCTACTGTATTAGCGAACCATGTTTTGTGGAAATCTTATCGTTTGTGAAGTTTTTACATACATTGCAAGTGATATAAACAGTGTGTATCACTTCTAATAATAGAAGGAGCCCTACGTATTTGTTGAGTTAGGATTCTGAAATTTGCAGAACTATCAAAAAATACACTCTGTGACATTTACTGCTCGCCAATAGCCATGAAACCATTCACATTTTCGGAAAATTATATCAGTAGGCAAGATAGGTTTTAAATCGTTTTGGAGTCAAAATCAGGACGTACATACATTCAGATTTCTCCTGAAAATCATTCATACGTTATTCTTACCTCAAAACTGAGGATTCTGAAATTTCCAGGAACAAGAAAGAGTCGAAAGATACAGTCAATAATCAACCAAGATTATCATCAGTGATATACACTGCTCGCCAGCAGCCATCTAGATAGTTCCATTGCTGCTGACGAGCAGTGTAGATCACTGATGATAAACTCAGTTGATTGTTGACTGTATTTTGGAACTCTCTCTGCTGCAAATTTCAAGATCCTTCCCCAATAATTACCTCAAATGAGAACTAGGACAGAATTTAATTCTCCAGAATTGGAAACATTCTTGGAGAAATATGAATATTCAGTGAATCGAGCGTCCTGATTTGGAATCCGTTGTGATTTCCATCCTATCTTGCCTCCTCATACCATTTTCCGGGAATGTGAGTGGTTCCATGACTGTTATCAAGCAGTTTATGTCACCAAAGACGACCTTACTTAGTCATATAGTGTATTTTTGGTATATCTCTCGCTCCTGGAAATTTCAGAATCCTAACTCAACAATTGAAGAGTGGAAGTACCAAAGGTGCTGAGTGCCAAAAATAAAGTATCGAGATATTCAAGAAAAAAGTAATAATAACGTCAATATTTTTTTTTAAGTTCATTAGCATTAAAAATCGCATAAAAGGTTAACGGAAAACCAATTCTAACTAACGCCGATATCTGTTATGAAACACAGCTGAAAATTAAAATAATTTCTTAAAAAAATATAGAAACGAGGTACTTTCAATTGCTCAATGCTATATGAGATAAGCTAAGATAATCCGTTGATTATTTTCAATCTTCAATCGAAATGATCTCGATAGCAATCTGGCAACAAAAGCACCTTAATAAAACGTAATCCTGCAATGTCTCGACCATAACCGTACTGAAACGTGAACGGCATTATGAGTTCCCGATTCTGTCCTATCTCAGGATAACAGGGAACACAAAAATTGCAGGAATTACACTCGAGAGCCTTTGTGTTCGCAACATTGAACTATTTTCCGCATCTGAAATGGGTATTGATATTTCATAAGCTACAGTTCACCAAGTCTCTTGTGTCATCATGAAAAATAAATACGTAATGAAGCACGTCTATGGTAGGTACTTTGATTTCATATACAAGGTGTCCCAGAACAACGAAATAGGCCAATTGAAACAACTTACCTCCATACGAAAATGCATCTTGAGAGGGCGAACAATTTCATTTATCAATATTTCGAAATCCTTGAAAGCTACTACTCTGAAAACCGCAGGAAAATATTACTATAGCAAATATTGATGAAAATCATACCGCGTACTGATTCAATCAATATACAGGGAGTTAGATAGTTCGCATTCTCTTTTTAAGAGTACGGCACTGACCATATTTCGATATCTCAAAGAATCACAAAATCAATTATCTAACATTTTTCCTACTGCAGTTTCCTGATTATTCTCCTTGGTGTTCGAGATGAATAACAAATTGCATTTTGGTGCATCTCCGTGATGGTGTCTTGTACAAAATGATCGATATGGGCTTTCCTGACGATTTGATTCAGTTGATGTGTTCATTTCTGAAAAATCGAACTCTTCAAGAGGAACTTGATAATCAACGATCTGGTATCAATTCCATTGAAGCTGGTGTTCCTCAGGGTGCAGTTCTATCGCCGCTGTTGTACAGTTTATGTACTAGTGATTTGCCGAGACTAGTGATGTGCAAGATGTACAGTTCTTGCATTTTCGACAAATTTGGAGCAAGCAGCTATGAACCTCCAAAGCACACTGGATTCTCTTCAGGAGTACTTTCTAAGATAGAAGATCAAATTGAATCCTGCAAAAACACAATTGGTCGCACTCGGAAGGGAGCGGAGGCCTCTCAGAACCAGAATAGTCCTGGATGGTCATCAGTTAGAGTGGTGTTCACAAGTTGAATACTTAGGTGTGTGCATTGACAAGTAGCTCACCTGGGCCCAGCACATTGAACAGCCATTGGAGCCCTGTATCCATTCCAAACAGACGAAGTAAATTGGGTTCGGGACAATGCCTCGGTAGAGTGGGGCAGCACAGCGTAATCTCATATCACCAGATTACAAACATTACAAAACAAAATCGGGAGAATGGTGACAGGATCTCCTTGGTACGTTCGGAATAACCAAATCGCCAGGGATCTGAAACTCTCTTTATTCGTGTCCGTCATTAGAGAACGAAACATCTAGACTTTCGAACAAGCTGGGGTTCATGACAATCAGCTTCTTCGAAATGCAGTGGATTATGACCCAGGTGATCAATCAAAGTTCGAAAGACCGAGATTGTCCATAAACTAGAGGAAATATCAACATTAGGACGAAGTTTACTCTTCTCAAGTTTTTGATATTTATTTGTTCCGTTCGATCTTTTTCAATTCTCAGAATGAATTTCTGAAACTTATTTGGGGCAGAAGGGCTGTTCGCATCAAACTAATACCGCTTTCATTTTGTTTTTTTTGTTTCATGATAGTTATCAGGATAAGAGGGACCCATCAAGTTCTGCTGGTTTATGACATTTGTGTTGAGTTATTGACAATGATCATGTTCATCATTTCGCAAGCTGGTCATTTCCAAAATACAGTTCAAGATTTCTGGTGAAGAAACTTTATAGAAAAAATAAATAAATTTGAAGATGACCAACAACATATTTTCAGATATAGTTTTTTTATTTCGATAACACTCAGGACGTTTTGTTTTCATTGGATTTATTCGAAGATAGGGAGTCATACATATAACTCGAATCAAAAACTATTGGTTGATTCCTATTATACACTAACGTCAAAGGAAATAGATTTGAATGGATGAATAATGAGGATTGAAGTATTGTTTTTGACTGCAGGTTGAATTTGTGCAATTCATAGTAAACCATGAAAATTATGAAATTGAAGCTCGTATAGAGAAAATAATCCCTGGATGTCATGACCTCCATAGTCTATACTCTATAGGGTCAATTTGAGCTCATTGATAACCATGCCCAACTACTTCGAGAATGAAGATGCTCACTACACATAAAATTCGTAGCTGTATAAAATGATGTCTACAACTATCTCTGTTGTTAGCCCTACACAAATATCTCAAAGATCTCTTCTGCAGCACAAGGACCTGATTGAGGAGTTTTTGGCTACAAAATCCCCAAAATGCAATGCCATATCGTAAATGGGACTCAACGAGGGCGAAGTAAGTCAATCTGGCTGTGGATATGTCGAGTTCCTTAGCGACAATTCTGACGGCAAATGATCCAGAAGCTATTTTCTTACATAATAATGTGATATGTTCATTGAACTTCAACTTATTGTCAATATGCAAGCCGAGGAACTTAGTGCAAAATGTTTCTTTTATATTGATACCATCTAGTAGCAAGTTATCATAGCTGAATTTGAAGTTAACAATTTCAGTTTTATCCACATTAAAGCAAAGGAAGTTTGAATCACACCATTCCTTTACTTTTAATAAATCTGTGTGAACCACTTCCTTCAAGATTTCAGGATTTTTTCCATGCCATGTTAATGTGGTGTCGTCTGCAAAAATTGTGAAGGATCTCTCAATATTTATTGTAGCGAGATCGTTAAGGTAAAGTAAGAATAAAATAGGGCCCAAAACAGATCCTTGGGGTACACCACAATTTATATTCGATAGACTAGAATATACATTGTCTACTCTTACTATCTGTGATCTGTTCTCGAGGTATGACCTAAACCAGTTGAGACATGCTCCTCTGATACCATAAATATCGCTATGCTTCTTTGCTTCTTTTCAGCAGTTTAATGTCAGTAACAGCGATATATCCCACATCATTCTTGTTCGCTATATACTTTTTCCCTCAATTACATATGATCCTTATGTTCGCATAGTCCTTATATTCGCAGAGGCGCTGGCTGAAACTTGTTACATGTCAGATGCCATACTCTCGGCATATATTTCATTTCTTGCTGAAATCTTACAATATAGCGCTGATGAAACATGCGAGGAATTGATTCATAGCCACGCATGAGATGAAAACTGACAGTGAGGGGATTAAACTTTGTGAATACAAGTAAAAAGGAGTTACTTCGCATATCCAGATAACTTTGCCATGAGTTCGTGAAAAATCTGAGAAAATTTTTCATTTCTCAACTGTTGATACTAAATTGGCGTGACTTCGCCTAACGGATCTCAACGATCCTCTGTTAATCTGGAATCAAACCAACAGCCTCTTTGGCCGGAGTTTTTCTGTACATGCGATAGTTGGTTTCGTAAGTATCTTCTGGAATGTTTCATTTCAATTTCTTCATAGTAGTGACTCAACATGCCTATTATCGATATTCTTACAGGTTTTCGAAACATAATATCAAAAACTTCTCTTTCAATTTCTGGTTTACTTTTCCATACATTCATGTCATGATTTGCAGGTCCGTAACATGGATAGGGAGTACAGAAAGTACTAAGAAGTCATACATGTCATATCTTTCATGTCACGTCGATCAGATGAGTTTACATTCTGCACGAAAAAAAAAAGGATTTGTTGCATCAACGATTTTTTTTTTTTTCAATCAACCAGATACATGATTATTTCATGGAAGCAGCTTGTTCAAATCAAGAATGTAGTCTTATTGAATCCATGAACAAAATATATGGTTTCCTCAAAAACAAATTATGTCGATCCAGAATAAAGTCGATATTGATTCAACTATGAACATTTTGTTCTTTTGATGATAGAATGATAATTCTGATGAGAATATATCTTTGAAACAACCTACAATTTTTCTCATTCCGATGTAGCAATGAAAACTCGGTTCGAACGGATCATTTACTTGAATAGAAAGAATAGAGCAACGAAATATGTAATATCAATGAAATATCTTGTTCATTCTACATCAAGTTGACTTAAATTTTCGCCTCTAGATGGCGATCATTCCGCCTCGTCTATGCCTGCCTCGAATTCATTATAAACGTGAAGCCTGACTCTTCGTGTCTGGAATATCAGCTGGATGAATCGAACTCGGGAAAGTAAACACTGGAGATCTATGCTATGAGTCGACTAGTATCCTAGTTTATTGTTTACCATTGATGTGTAATTTCAGGAAATTCCCGCATCAATACTGAATTTGGTTCAACAAAACAATTTGTCGAATGTAGTTTCTCTTGAATCAACGAAATATTTATTGAATCAACCTAATGTTTCATTGAATCAACCGAATAATTCATTGAATCAACCAAATATTTCTTCGAATCAACCAAATATTGCATTGAATCAACTAAATATTTGATTGTATCAATATCTTACTATTTTGAATCAACCAAAATGATTGTTTGAGCCAATTCAATATCTCTTCATGAACAATTCATGGATGTGCTTGATTGTTCACTTCAATAACAACATAATGCTGCAGCGATGCTAACAGCTTAAGAATTTCAATCTTTTTGTAGGTATCGTAATAAGCCATGATGGTGATAGTACTGAACAGGACCAAAGATATTTTTATGGATAATTGTCTAGTCAACCTGACGAGTAAGTAACCTCACTTTTACTGATTTTCATAATCAAAATTCAACAATTTTTTAATTTCTCAATTTTCTCTGATCGCTTTTTTCAATAGTTGAAAGCTGATTACTTGCTTACAGGTACGCACGACGTTTCACGAATATTTTTGGAATTTCCTCTCGTGCGCTCCAAGAGTTTAAAAAAAGGACGCATTGATGATGACTGTATATTCGAAAGCGCTCTGCTACGAAAAATTTGAATGAATTATTTCGCAGGAAATAACAATGTTTTGTACAATTATTTGTATATCTATATCTACAGACGCACACAGGAGTAACCCTCACTTTACCTTCTGTGGCATTCAGCACATGCACATTCACGTACGCCGGTATGGCATTCGAGGGGTAGCACGTGTAGTTGCCGTTGTGGCTCGTGTCAGCCTCATCCAGCTGCAGGACGCTGGAAGATCTGTCTGCAGCCACGCTGATTCCCGGATCGTGGTTGATCATGCGCTCCTCGTGGTACCAGAAGACGTACGAAGGAGGCTCTGTGGAGTGCCTCAGGGTGCAGACCAGACGCAGGAACGAACCGGCTCGTATGTGGATGTCAGGGGCACCAATGATCTCAGCTACAGCCTCTGTAACACAAATTTCATCCACTTTATAAAAAAGCGTTTGCTCCCTCATCTGTGAACACAAACCTGTCAATTAACTTCCACGGAAGGGAAAAGAATATTACCTCCCGTGGGATGTAAAATAAATTGGCTTTATGCTACCTTGGCAGAGATATTTATAAAAATTCTGTGCTACCCAAATATCTAATCAGTAATTGATGTCTCCATCACTATTATACTATTAAAATTTCCTTATCGAACTCTAATGATCTCATTAACACTTTTTCATATTTTATTCCAGTCACTCAATCGAAACTATGAATGAAATGAAAATGCAATTACACAATAAACAAATTCAATGTGACAGAAGTGTAGAATTGGTGTTCGTTGAGATCTCCGCAACCTTATGATGTCACACATTGATTCGCATCGAAGACTCGAGAGATAGACCGCTTGAGGCACCATTTTAAGAACGAAACTTTCAAATAATTCTATGTATGATGATTCAGACGACAGTGACCAACAAGTTGATAGGCCTGTTAGAGAACATATAGGTTATCCCAGCAGTAGCAGCAATGTTTTGGTGACATTCTTCAATAGCATCTTGTAACGAGCCAATCATGGTAGATTCTGCCTAAAGTCTGAAACAGTCCGAGTGTTTCGAGTGATCATTATATCACCATCTTTGGCAAGATTTGATGTGATGCCAGTGACAGGTCTCAATCTGATGAAACTTCCATAACGGAGTAGCCAGGAATTCAGACCCAGGACATTTTGTTGAGTCTATCTTACATTTCGAGTGGTTCAATATCATTACAAGTAATTCTAATCAGTATACGAACTGAGTGCTTCTTCCAAGAGTGCTTATTGCCATCTAATCAATCAATCGTTTAATTTGTTAAGTGGATTTCCTTCAATATCTTTACACATTGATCAATAGTGTATTTTTTCCCTTGGCTCATGGTTGCATAGGCATAGGCATAGGCAGGTTGATATTTGAGTAAGTATGCGGAAATGAATACAATGAATATTGGATTTTTCAATTTTGATAATGAATTTTGAATTTGAGCCTGAATAGCTTGATATCGATTTGGTTTCAATACAGTGGAGTGACATCGTTTTAAACACAAGGATGAAGGGGTGAATTGAAAAATGTGTTGACGATAGATCAACCTACAGTATAATTATTGCATCTACAACCGCTATGCCATATGCAAATCATGGAGACAATTCAGTAACATTATACAGGGTGATTCAGGTATTGAAATACAAACTGAAGTGGGTGATAGCGCTTATGATTTCAATTAAAAAAGTTGATATAAACATGAGTCCGATCTCGATCAGTAGCGAAGCTACATTGCGTTAAATTTCAATTATTTTCTTTTAATTGGGATATCTCACTCACTATTGAAAATATCAATTTGAAACTTGATGTAGTTGATTCTTCCTTGAAAATGATCATCTTAAGCACTTTGAAGGTTATTAAAATCTACAGGGTGATACGTTTTTGGAGGTAGAAGATTTTTTATCCCCTCAAACTATTTTGTAGTGAGCCTCTGACATCTCTCATTCACCAAGTAGGATGTTTTGTTCAATTTGAAGTCTCTTTTCTCCTTCATTTCCTTCTGACTACTTATCCCGACTGAGCATGTGTCTGCTCAAAAACATTGCAATTTCAGTATATATCATTGCATTCTCAACAAATATTGTCCAAGAATGAGCAAAACAGGCAAAATCAGGCAAAATCAACATGTTATAGAACGAATATGCTAGAAAAGGATTGAGAATTGAGAATTTGGTAACTGAAAGAGGACAAAGGCATACTATTTACCCCCAAAAACGTATCACCCTGTAGATTTTGAAGATATTCAAAATGCTTCAAATGAAGATCTTCTAGACAGTATTGACCACACCCAATGTCATATTGATATCTCTACAAGTGAACGAAATATTTCAATTGATAAAAAAAATTATTGATTTTTGACCCCTCGAAACCTGTATCACCCTGTATTCAACTATGTTTGCAGAAAAACTAATAATTGTAAGTGAGAGTGCTTGGATAAGGAATTGAAGATAAACTACAGAGATCAGATTTCAAGAAACCCATGTGTTGATCCGAAAAGTAGGCGCAAAATGATATTAATTCTTCACATCCGCGACTGCAAACGCTCATTTTCATTCAATTTATTTCCTGACATCCAATCATAATCTTCCCTCATTCATCACTTAGTAGGGGTAAAATTCATAATCGTTGAATAGATTGAAGGCACTTCCGTGAATCCTGCATAATAACGCCCTCGGTGGTTGGTAGACTCACTTAATTTTCAGCACAGATTGAAACCAAACACCTTCCATACTGAAACAACATAATTAAAGACTACGGAAGTTTTATTGTTCCTTTAAGAAAATGTATGCGACGTTGGAATTGAGTTATCAGATGGTATATAAGGACTTTATAGAACGTAATAAAAACCGCTATTATGTTCTGAACCGGAAATTCCAGAGGTGGCACTATCAAAAAGTTTGATCTGCTAATGTTAACTTCGATTAATTATACACTATCAATGCATAAAACCACTTCACACGAAAAAAAGTAATAGTCACCATCAGATATCTTTGGAAAAAATTCACCAAGAAATTACCTTGATTTCGAATTGGGATTCGAAATAAGTATACAGAGTATTCGTAGATTCCTAATGCAAGCCATATCTCCGCGTTCTTAATCAGTGAATATTTTGAAAGGTTTTCATTGTGAAATATATTATCAGCACTCGTTCAATGAATAGGGGTTTAGAAAAGCTCATTCTATTTGTTATGAAAACGATTTGTATCTCTTTCATTTTCTTTAGATATGAAGAAAATGTCCTCACTCTTTATAAAGCGTTAAAAATCAGATCTATTGGCACTTTTATAATTACTATTACTCAATTATTTGCCGATGGAACAACTCATTTATTACGGGAAAAATATTCAAGAAATGAAAAACCAAACGGAACAAGATCTCGCTTCAATTTCTGGTAATTTTTTGGATTATGATGCTTTTCAAAAAGAACTTCATATTTGCACAATTGAACGTTTTTGTGATATGAATATTAACTGAGAGAGCTTTTGGGTAAAAAATAGGTCAACAATCAATTTTCATTTCAATGCTGAATATATTGGTAAGTTATATTTCTATATCATTATACATCATATTATTCATCCGATTTGAAGAAGAATGTCAATTCTCAATTTCGGAGGATTTTATTCTTCATTTCTCATGTTCTCCTTTTGAATGTTCATCAGATATAATTCAATGTTCGACTAGGCAAATAGCCAGGAAAGTAGTTGTTTTCTGGTGAATATTCAGGATGATGTGTGCATATACATATTTTTATCTGAAGGAGAATGCAAATTCTCAATTCCAGAAGTTTTTATATATTTTTTTTTTTATATTTTATTTTCAAACTCTTATCGTGTGTGTTCAATAGATATAATTCAATGTTCGTCGTGGCATATAGCCAGGAAAGTAGTTGTTTTCTATTGAATCAACTGAGAAAGAGTAAATATTCTCATCACATAGAGAATGCGAATTCTCAATGTATTGCTTTATATAAATATACAGGCTGATTCACGGTGGATGGCACATTAGACGTTTCTGGTGAACCAGACAACGAATCATTCTGAAAATTCAATGGAGGGCATATTCGGACATTCTCTAGCCAACTAAAATATTTTCGAGAATGCGGTGTTGCCGCTTCTATTAGAAAGCAGTAGCAACTTTGATTTTTCAAATGGAACACTATGTATTTTATTGCATATTTAGATTCTCCTTGAGGAGCAGATTTCATCGATGTATCACACTTGGGGTCTAGCGGAAATGATTACAGAGATATAGGGTGTGAAAAATCGACATTTTTCAACTTTAGGAATTTTTTTTGTCGAAACTATTCATTATTGGTCAAAACGGCTCACATGTTCCTATCTCAACTTTTGATCAATTATCTACTAACATTTAATTGAAACAAATACAGGGTGGTGCAGAATTCAGAATCTTGATCACCCAGTATATGCGCCAATTAAATATCAGTAGATAGTTAATCAAAAGTTGAGATGGGGACATGTAAGCCGTTTTGACCAATGATGAATAGTTTCGACACAAAAAAATCCTAAAGTTGAAAAATGTCGATTTTTCACACCCTATATCTCTGTAATCATTTCCGCTAGACCCCAAGTGTGATGCATCGATAAAATCAGCTCTTCAGGGAGAATCTAAAAATGTAATAAAATACAGAGTGTTCCATTTGAAAAATCAAAGTTGCTACTGCTTTCTAATAGAAGCGGCAACACCGCATTGTCGAAAATATTTTAGTTGACTAGAGAATGTCCGAATATGCCCTCCATTGAATTTTCAAAATGATCCGTTGTCTCGTTCACTAGAAACGTCTAATGTGCCATCCACCGTGAATCAGCCTGTATATCCATTTTTGTATGTTCATGATTTATCTGAGAATATTCCTTTTTAAACAATCACCCCGTTTGAAATTTTTTGATTCAAGGTAGAATTCTGCTGTTCACCGCCTCATAGAAATGTAATCAGGATCTGTGTTCTAACTCAATCGTTTTGGAAGTATACTTTCATTTTGAATTTGAAATGCCAAGCAGTCAAGCCAACGTCCACTTGATTTGACCAAGAATTTTGAGCATGCGTATTAAATCTCTTTTGCTTATGCGTAGTCATTTGTTCCAAAAAAGTGGCTTCAAGTTGTGGTGAATAGATGAGTGCTCGAGATCGATATGTCGGCGTCAATTAGTGAAATTCGTCATTCCCTGAAATGCCTAGTCATTTCACGTATTGTCGGCAAACAGCGTACCAGCGTAATTTCCATTTTCAGCCCTGACTCTGGTTGCCAGAGGGTTGGGGAAGGAAAATATCCTTTCTGCATATGCATAAGAAGGGACGCTATTTTTTCGCCAAAATGAACCTTCTTCCCAGAAAGTATATTTTTCAGAAAACTACTTGAGAGACCAGAAGAGACTACTGCTTCTAAACAACCTAAGCTGACTCGGCCTGAATGAACCTTATTCCTTCCGTCATTACAGGGAAAGCCTGTGAAACTATATTAGGCAAACGGTGTACGAAATTTTTAGAGTTAAGCTGTTTGCCGGCAATACGTAGAATGACTAGGCATTCCAGAGAATGACAGGTTTCACTGTTTGACGCCGACATATACAACACTCCTTATCTCTTTTCATTTCCCTTCCCCAATCATAGCAATGTTCACTTGTTTTACATTTCATCAATATCATCAGAGTATTACATTCGTATCTAATCAACATATTGCGATAATCAATATGTGATGGAATTTTCCATCTCATATCGTAAGGTGAGTATTTACGATACCAATATCGTAAATAACTATATTTATTACCAATAAAACGCCATCTGACTGACTCAACATTCACCAAGACAACCCCTGTTCTGTGCGTTCGATATCAGCAAGTTTATTTCTCTGGTGAATTCATCCTTATGCAAACCGACCCGGAACCCTGTGTGGAGCGTCAGCAAATCCCTTATCTGCCATATTTATCGAAGGTCACAGGTGGGCCCTATAAGCAACTTCTGGAAGAGAATGCGTCTGCCATCCCACTTTTTGTCATGCGAAATCCACCACTGCGTGTGCCGTGTGCAAATTCACAGTAGTACAGGGTCTTTCACACCAGGTATAAAAATTGCATCTAAGAATAAATGATTGTATCTTTCAATAGTGAAAGAGATGAAATTAAATAATTTTTCATGAGAATGCCCATATCTCCAAAACTATCAATATTTTACTCAGGTCATATTGTGATATTCTGTTTAGTCATGAAATGGACTATTAGCCCTCCAAAGAATGACATTGTGTTTTGGTACACCCTGTTATACTTTGCAAATGTTGACTCAAGCCATTTTGAAGTTCAAACATGAAGGTTAATTGGTCGTCATTTCACATAGCCTTGTTTTGGAACTATAGTGCCTTTAGCAATTTGTATAATGATTGATTATGTTATTTTCTTGTAGGTGATATTTTCTTGTTCTCATGAGACTGATGATCGGCATATATATGACCAAAACATGTTTCTCTAACCCATAATTTTGACACACATACTTTGTAGAGATGACTATGTGTTATTACTACTTGTAACTACCAAGTAACTCCACTTGTAACCTTCTGAAAGACCCTGTACAGTGGGCCCTTTTCCAATATCTCGGAACGTGTCGGATATATTCCGCGTATAGTTCGGCTCATTTATTATTCATGATTTGTGTCGACCTAAGTATAAATCAATTCGTGCAATGGTACGTTTATAGGGACGGACGTACTTGAATATTTGACGTCGATGGGATCATGTATCATTTGCTCTAGTGCCGAATGTTTTATATTAGCCATCGAATATATGTCGCATGAAATGGCAGTGATTTACTGAATAATGGCATTCTCCTAGCCCCTTTCTATGAGAAGATAATATGCAGTTCAAGTCTGAATCAGAAGATTTCTCCAGGGATTATCAGTGGTAACGAGATCCAATAATTACTTGGTAACACCTCGAGTGGACGAGGTGGTGTTACCTCCAAGCAATTTGATTTTTGATAGTTATTTGAGATTTAGTTGTATTTATTGAGACAATTCCACGACGTCATGAAACTTTTAGCTCCATGTTATACCAGCTGACAAAGTGTACTGGTTCCTATATTGCTGGAGCAGTTTCATATAAGTCGTGGAATTATCAGCTACACACCTATTTCACTTTTATTTCAAGAAGTTCATGATACATTTCAAAAAGAGGTATTCTATTCTCAGATTTTCTGGCTTCTACATTATCACTAAGTTCCTCATTCATTTCTGTCATGATTGGTTCAGCCTTTTCTGTTATCTTCATGAAGGTCTTTGAAGATATATCTCAAAAACTCTTTGGCGTCCTGTTAACACGCTCAATTCTCGAAACGTAAACCAAATATTCGTGTCTGATTTCAGAACAAACGGTGTACATCACAGTATCAGATGAATCTCCAACCATAGGTTTTCTTCTTTCGCAAATGCTTTCACTATCATTATGATAAACATTGGAGGGCGCTGCTATTGATTAAATAATAATTGTGGCCAATATTCTGCAAACCTTTCTAGCCGAATATTCTCAATTTATTTTGACAAAATCCATAAAAGGAGCTAGGTATTGGTTATTGACCAATGGTATCCTTTGTGGACATGAAAAACACCAATTGCTTCTGTGGCCACTGGAATGAAAATACATCGATCTTTCGATTTCAATTTCCCAGCTGAATCACCATGAACTGGTGATGTTGAATTGATATGTGCTGCTGCGATGGTATCTATGCAGATGAAGTTCAAGACTAATGTTCTGCCTCGACTCCATGAAATGATATTCCAACGAAATTTAAATTTTTCAAGGAAGAACTCAATATCATCGAATATGGAAACCAATATTCCGAATAATCAATAGATATATCAATTCCATCTCTATACTTTCATGAGACCAGACAGAGAACAAATGAAAGGGTTCATCAAACATAATATCGATACATCAAACTCCCAACGAAACAGAGTATAAAAGAATATTGTGAACCAGGTAATTCTGAAGTTCACTATCGAGAATTCTATCCCTCTTACTACCAACCAAGATAGTGTTTAATGCCTCCTTTTAATACACTCACCAGTAACTGTCAATTGTAAAAAAATACTAGTAGTTGGATGACTGGACACTTGGCATTCGTATAGCCCAGCATCTTCAGGTTTGACGTGCTTGATGACCAAGCCCCAGTTCTGCAGGTGCCTTGCATGTTCCACAAGGAACCTTTCGTCAGCAATGTAGGTTCCTACACCGACCGTGAGGATGGTGGGAGGAGAGTCTTTTTTCCTGATCCAAGACACCTGAAACAAAATCAAGTGACAACAGATACGCTTGAAAATTATGACAGATTCATGATGGCTGTATCATATTCTCAAATTTACAATTTCCACGCATCGAATACACATGAAATGCAGACCGATTCTTCCTTCATCACGTTTTTACCACTGAAGTTTCAATAGGGTAGCTCGAGGATAAATGGCGCAAAATATGAGATAGCTCAGTGCTGTATTTTCACAACCGCTAGAGTCACTGGATCTTTTATATGCTCTGAGGCTTCAATTATAATGTCACTGGTTCACATTATGATCGCAAATCAGGTGTGAATATTATCTACGAAGTAGGTATCTTAATATTTCGTTAGGTGGAATTCAGTTCGAGTGGGCTTGTTCAGAGCTGCATAACTTTCCTGATCTCATAGGTTCCCGAAGGTGATATGGTTTGAAGTAAGTACAAGTCATAATGTGCTTTGTTCACCGATACATGGGGAGTAGGCTCAAGGAACATATCATCTCAATACGAAGATGACCAATCCATATCATTGGGTGACTCTTCAGATGATGTGGAGACATTTGAGAATTGTACGTGTTGATGTGGAAATTATGCGCAAACAAGGAAATCTGATGACTGGGTGAAGTGCAAGCAATGAATACACGTTGATACCCTGACACGTGCTCAAATATTTTCCAACTTTTCTCATCCTTCTGGTTTTGAAATTCGTTAACATGAGTGATTTGACATCATCTGTGTGAAATCTACAGCTTGATACTTCACTATTGCCTTTATCTCCAGTTGACCCATCTCACCTGAGTGTATGAAGAGACATGGCTTTTGACTTATTTTCTCATTCTTTCCAGGACACTGTCATTCCTCATTTATATGTGTGAAACATTATATTAACTCATTTAAATGATATAAGAGTATGATCTGAGGCTATAATCGTTTCATTAAAATCATTCAATGTGATATCACGTTTTTTTTACAAATGTGGGTCATTTAACCTCGATTCACCCTATAATGAACAGTGGATTGCACAATCTTATTGAAACTGTTATATTTGTCATCTCATAAAATTTGTATTCATTCATCCCTGTGATAAAAATCAATGGAATTCTTGTATAAAAAGGCATTGATTTTAACTGCATTTCGAGCTATAAAAGTATACATTGACTCTGATCTCTACTCTTGGCACTGCCTGGAATGAAAGAAACTGATGATTCCACAGGAAATGAAATCCACACGGAATCAAAAAGGGTGACTTCATCATGTGAAATACTCATACAAATCAACTTTACGAATATGGAGGTTGAGAATTACTTGTGCAGGCTAGCTAATCCTTCCATTTCCGGAAGTATGCATTATATCTATATTCAAATTTGCTTTGATGGATGGATTTGAAGGAGCCACATATTTCAGAGTTTTTGATAGATTTCACCGCTGTTGCGTAGATGGTTTTCATAAGGTGTCCTATAAATTTTAATGATTTTAGCTCAGTGTTTTATTCCTGTTGAATGTTTGTAGTGAGCTTTTCAAGTTGTTTAGTGGTTTCCTTCGAGCAGTTTTATTTGTTCGTGTTTGTGTTTCCGTTCGTATTCATTGCATTCAAACTTTTCTGTACCACAAATGTAGTATTGGCGGAGGACAGGTTACCCAGACATTATCTTCTCATTAGTGAGTTATCGATTTTGAACTACTTCATCCCACGACCAGTCTAGTAAGGAATCGTTATGATTTGAATATTACTTTGGTCTGCGTTCAGAAACTTAATCCAGTGGGTAGAGTATATGGTTGAAGGTTACTCAGAAATATGCAATGAAAACAAATGTCAACTTTTATAAAACTCATAGGTTTTTAGGTCATGATACGGAAAACCAGATATGAAATATATTTGAATACTACTATTTGATGATGAATGATAAAACCCTAGGTAATTTTTGTTTCCTGGGAATTGTTTCAATATGAATGTTGAGAAGGAAATGTGATATATATTTACCATTATTAAATCGGAATAAGAATGTTCTGCTTTTTTTATATCAAAATAAATTGGAAGGAGACTAATTGAAGACTGGTTCATGAGATTTGAATTAATTTCACATTCTACTCATTGAAATTCAGTTAGAACTTCTGCACAAAATTTCTTATTATTTTATATATTTCTACACCAGAAATAATTTCAGTTCCCTCAATGATTCTTATTCTGCGAACATAATTGAATAATGTGATTCAGTTATGATAAACTGTCAGAAATTAACTTCCCTGCCTGAGGCGTTGGAAGTCGAAACTACCGAAATTAGCAGATGTTCCTGGCAAGTTGGTGCCGAGCTATGTTTTCCATTTTGAAGTGATCAACTCCTGCTGAAGAATCATTCAAGTTCGAAATGCTGTATTCGATCCGGCAGGATTGATACATCAGGATTACTTATTGTAATTATCTTTCGAAGAGCACTGGGGGGAAATCCCTGTTATGTTCGTAGAGCATCATGTTGGAATGTATTTTAACCTTTGGATTTCCTGGGAATATTTTTCTAAATGAAGGATGGATAGTATAGACAAGAGGGTTTCGTAGAGAGTTGTTCAACATATTTCAAAGTCGACGACAAAATAATGTGGTCTCAGCTCAGCGAGTTCGTCTTATTGGTATTACTAGTGATGGAACAATAAATGAGATTAATGAATACAATTTTTCATTGAAGAAGAGTGAAAGGTCGCTGACTTTCTTACGGCGTCCTTATATAATGTTAAGAGATCATCACCAACATACCGGAAAGAGCATCGAATTTTCTATAGAGCTCATGTGAAATTCGTTAATACGCGAGAAGGTGACCCTATATCGTGGGTCATCTCACGTAATGGCGTATCTCATAGAAATCGGAATTAGAGATACTGCGTCAAATGACTTAAATTCTTATACTCTATGATCTCACAAAATGGCGTAGCTCAATATACATTGGTTTTCGTGTAATTAAATATCAACTGTAATTAAATATCAACCCAACTTATTTCAAATTATCGGACTACCAAATCTCATGAAGTGGCCTAACTATGGGAGTTAGGTCAATACGTGAGATATATTTTTATTATTTGTTAAGAATTTCAATAGTGACGTATCTCATAACTCATAATCCGGTTTGCCGCGAAAATAAAAATATCTCAGGTGACGTCTCATTAAGGTACTGAGAGGGGTGTTTTTTATCAATGAAAATGAATATTCGTATCTGATATTCATTTGAATTCTCTTTATATTCATGACGTATCTAATGCCACATTGACAAACATGATTGACGTAGTGACGTATCTCACATATTTTTTCTCCGTTTTTAGCGATGCTTTTTCGAAATCTCACCTGGAATAGTGCTCCCATATCTGGAGTGCAGCACCCAAACATACCTTGAAACTGTTGGATTCTATCCAAACATGGGCAATTCGTCTCGTGGGTAATGTCTCGCTCACAAACTCACTCACTACTCTGGAACACCGTAGAAAAGTTGGCAATCTGGCTGTATTTTATAGTTATCTTCATGGACGATGCTCTTCTGAGATATCAACAATTGTTCCTTCCTCGGCAGTCCCCGCGAGATTAATGGGGAAGACCACTGAGGGAAGAAATCCGTGCAAACCTCTTTCAATCGACGAATCATGATTTACGTTTGATCTACAATCAATATTATGAGTTGAAGTTGAAGGAAATCGAATCTATATCGTTTTGAAATTAGCATATTTCATTCGTTATTTCGAAAAGCCAAATATGATGGTGGAATTGTGACGTATTAGTCCCGCACTGTAGCTATTTCTCTCTGATACCTCGTCATTCTGCAGTGTTGCAGTGTGATTGGTGAGTTCAAGGACAATAGGCGTGTTGGGACTAAGACGTCGCACCAGTCTCACCAATGAATTGACGAAATTTCAAATGGCACAGGAATTGTGTGTTTTGAAATGGACATATTCTAATTTATTTTTTCATCGTCTTAGCATGAATAAGAAAATTCGAAATTAATTCACTGGTAGTTTTTCAGTATAAAGTTCACGATAATGTCGTTTCAAAAAATAAGTGGTCGTTCCCATTCGTCGAGTTGAGACTTCGCACCCCTTCTTGGTCACTTTCGAGACCTGCAGAACATTTTCCAAAGACTCGATCATCCAACGAACAGCGAGGCTCTGGAACATATTGCCAAGGGAGGTGTTTCCTGAGGCATATAACCTCCAGAAATTCAAGAAGAACATCAATTCCTACCATATTTACCTTGGTTCTCACGATGTTCACAAACATCTGAGTTATGAGCGAATCGAAATGTTGAAAATCTTTGGATTGCACTGCTGTGGAGTTAAGAAAACTGAGATACGTCTTTACGTGAGATGGCTGTCGATATGTTAGGTATGGTACAGTGCTCAATCATATCACCATTTATTCAATGAGTGATTGGACTCAACCTCGGAATTGTCAACTAAAGTAAACCACCAGATGTCGAGTTACCGATTTATTTATATACTATCAAATATACCATTAGTAACTAACGGAACAAACAAATGAGAGTATAAAGTCGTTTGTCCTCAATTTTCTTCTGAACGTGACCAACGCATTTCCATCAATCAAACCAAGTTTTCCCTGTATATGAGAAAAACGAATTGTCGATTTCGTTCCAATCAGGAAAGCGATGTATCCTAATCGCTTCCTGAATACCTTTTTTGCGGCAGCTAACCCCAGCTTATAACCACCGTCTGAACAAATAACGAACATCCATCAGTTCAGTTCTTGGAGATGATAACACAGGAGCATTTGGCATCTTCTGCCATCGCCAGCGTTGCCAGATGCCTCTTGAAGTTCACTGATATAACCTACCATCTATACCTTTTCAACTTCAATTTCGGAATCGGTGAGTTATATTTCGGAAAAAGTAATCTCGATTTCAGAATTGGTTAGTTCGATTTCAGAAATGGTAAACTCAATTTCAGAATCGGTGAGATGAATTTCAGAAAAAGTCCATTCAATTTCAGAAATGGTGAGTTGTATTTCAGAATTATTATT